TAAACGTAACCCTAACGCTCTAAACCTAACCCTTAACCTAACCCTAAACCTAAACCTAAACCTAACCCTAACCCTTACCTTTATGTGAATCGGCTTGCTTTAATTTTAATTTTATTTCAATTTTTAATTTTTTTCATCGCGCTGTGATGACGTCAAATGCGCGCTTTCGTCGAGCGCGATTTTGTCCTCCGCGGTTTTGACGGGTCACGGATCCTGAGGAGATAAACCTGCAAATGCTTCAAGGACCCTCTAAAAGAATGCAAATGACCAGCTATCTGCAAGGAGTATAAATCCTTCCATTCCCTGCTATCCTATCAGAGCTGAAGAAGCTTCTGGGATGAGAAGCTAAACGTTTTCAAAGAAAAAAAACAAGAAAGTCCAGTTATCTTCGGGACCACCTCCTCCTTGCCCCAACCTGGTGCCCTCCAGGACTGCAGATCTGCAGTGTTCACAATGGTGGGTGGAGGGGAGTTGAAGCCTTTATTGGCTGCATCCACGCAACTTGCTTGCATCTTGCTCTAAACTCAGTTTTCTGCATTTGTGGAATGCAGGAGAAGCCCTTGGCAACTTTCCATGGGATCGTTTTTTCATTTCCGGAGTCAGAAACCTCATATTCCAGATAGTTGCGCTGGCTGGAGGATTCTGGGGGTTGAAGTATCACACATCTTAAAATTGTCAAATTTGAAAAACACATTTGGTTGTTTTTTTTTTTAAAAAAAAAACAGCTTGTTGTCTTTAACAACAATCTGAAGTACGATATCACGGACACCAGAGAGAAAATACGTGTATGTCTGCATATTTCGAATAGTTAAAACTATCTGCCTTCCAAAGCAAAGTGCAAATATTTGTTAAATTAGCTATAGATTTACTTACAGACTGACTTACGGCTTACAAGCTGGAGATAGGTAACATAGTTGAACAGACTGGCTGACCAACTTTCCTTATATCAGCCAGCAATATTACATCTATTTTTCCAGCTGAAAAGGGTTTTGCTGGCTTAATCTACAATTAACGCCGTTCCTAGACATAACATAAGTTGTACTGTAGCCCAAGTAATTGCCGTCTGTATCCAAATGGATGTATTGAAGCAGATAATGACATAACTAGCAGTTTTATTCTTAGCTATAAAGAAAGTGGCTTGAGGGAGGGGAAAGTATCAAGCATTGTCTATATAGCATTCTGTCCTCTACTTACAAACATTCATGTAGTGACAGAAATTACAATGAAACTAAAAATAACTTATGACAGTTTTTCACACTTACGACCATTGCACATCCACATGGTCACATGATCAAAATTTGGACACTTGGTAACTGGGATGAGGGTCATGCAACCTTCTGACAAGCAAAGTCAGTGGGAAAACTAGATTCACTTAAAAACTGAAAAGGTTTTCAGTATTGCTAACCGAACAACTGCAGTGATTCACTTAAAAAGTCGTTAAAAAGGAGTAAAACTCACTGAACAATTGTCCCACTCAGCAACAGGAATTTTGGGCTCAACTGTAGTTGTAAGTCGAGGACTACCTGTAATTTTTTTTTTTTTGCCAGCCACGTTTTGGCTATATTTTTTCCCCCAATGGTTGTTTTTTGCCTCTCAATTTTGTTACACAGGTAGTCCTCAACTTACAACAGTTCCTTTAGTTCCTTTAGTGACCGTTCACAACAAAGTTACAACAGCAGTGAAAAAAGTGACTTATGCCCATTTTTCACACTTACGACCATTGTGTGATTCCCACGGTCATGTGATCAAAAATCAGATGCTTGATAACTGACTCACATTTATGACGGACGCAGTGTCCTGGAGTCATGCAATCTGCTTTTGCAACTTTCCGACAAGCAAAGTCATTGGGGAAACAAGATTCACTTAACAACTTGTGTTTCCAACTTCACAACTGCGGCAATTCACTTAACAAATGTGGCAAGAAAGGTCGTAAGATGGGACGAAACTCACTTAACAAATGTCTCTCTTAGCAACATAAATTTCTATTGTGGCCATAGGTGAGGACTACATGTATTAAATCTATCGATTTGTTCTATAATGTTTTCAATTGTTATATTGAACATTGGAATCACTATTTTGGAATATTTTCCCCTGAGATCTGTCACCCTATGCCTGGCCTTCTGGAAGAATCTGAAAATTTTACCGCTTGGCCTAGGTCCCCAATAGGCGCCTTCTATATTGGGGCTGGTTGATCAGGTAGAGAAGATCTCCACCCCCCAGACCTCCCATTGTCTTGGTTTTTATCTTTTTTATTTAATTTCTATAATTTCAATTGTCTTGTGTGACTT